AGGTTTTTTTACCAATGCTACCTTCTTTTGTTTGTTGGAACACAATGGAGGGATGGAAATGGGGGTTATATGGAGTGTAGAAGTGTATGGAGAAGATAGGGGGATTTTGGCTCCCCCACCCTCCATTTTGTTAGCCAAGTGGGACGGGAGCATTTTCCCTTCCTTCCCTCAATCCCCTCCACCCAAACACGCCCCTAATCTCTACTTTTATAAAACTGCTTGAGTAGTCGTATAAACATTTATGCACATGTGAAATAACTTTTGTGAAGTTTTGTGCTATTCTTGACCCCTTATTATGCTTTGTATTCTTATACAACTTGAAGTTAGAACCCCTTTGAGCTGAGGCTACAGAAACACCCTCTCCACCCCCCTCATGGATAGAGGTAAGGTTGGCCTACACCACTTCATCTACATCTTACCCTTGGTGACCCCATTTGCGGGATTGCATGGGGCTTGTTGTTGTTGTAAACTGGTACTACTTAGATGTTAGAATACACAATGATATAAAGCTGCAATTTTCATGTTTTACATGGATATGCGGTGCCAACCATTGATAAGTGCCCTTGTTTTACCACTAGACTTTAATGTATAGTTATCTCTTTCCAACCATTTGGACACGCTGCAAGATGTTTGCTTGGTGGGAGAAAAGTTTCTTTTTTGGGGTTATCTACGTGCATTACTTTCCTTCGTTTAGTTACTTCAAATTGCACTTTCGATAGAAAACTATTCCCTCCAGTTTGCGCAGAAAAAATGATCTGATATATTCCTAGGCTCTCCTTTTTTTTCCTGGATGGTTGAAAAAAAAAGGGTGTGCTCAAACCAAAACAGCCTTATCTATAAGCTCCAGCCATTTATAATCTCTCAGTCTTCTCCCACGTTAGTCACTCCAAGTCTTTGATCTCCATCTTCACTGGTGTTCACCTATTGTTCACTTGCTTAGGTAAGGTATATTCCGTTCATATTTCTTGCTCTGGGATTTTTTGTTATTCAATTGCTTCTTCACCCGTTCTCTGTTTTACTTCCTCACCCATCCTCAGCTTGTATCAAATTGCTTCTTAGTTCTGTTACAGATTCTTATTGATTCATCTCGTTTTGTTTGAATTTATTTTTAGTTGCTCTGTTATGGCGAATTACATATTAATTGAACCTCCCCTCAATTTATCTTATTCCTTCTTAAACTTCGAATCCCCATGACCCCATCCCCATGCATCTCTAAGATTACTTTAAACAGTTTGGATTATCCGTCATTTGGACAATTTGGCATGGGTGTAGAGCGTAAAAGGTTCTTTCTCGCGTAGAGTATAGTTGTTTTCTTCTAGATTAATATATTATACTGATATACTCCATCCATCCTAAAAAAGATCTGTGCTTGATTTTCACGAAGTTCCATCCTTTTGGACTATTTTCACAAATATCTGCTCTTGATTCCTAAAAGATTATACTCCTTCCATCCTTTTGGAATATTTTCAAAAATTGATTTTCACGAAACTGTAAAATAATATTTTGAAAATACTCCATATTTTATACTCCCTCCGTCCCCCTAAGATGAGGGACGGAGGGAGTATAATAAATGTAACTAAATTAGTTTTGTATCAATGGAGTATCATTTTTATTTCATTTAAGGTCAAAATTTACCAATTTTGATTGAAAAGAGACAAAAGTGGACAGATACTCCAGGACGAAAGGAGTACAACATCATCATATGCCTGATGAGCTTGATTCCTTTGTAGTTTTCACAACTCTGAATATCCTCCTTACGGCCTGTTATTTAGGACTTGAACTCTTAACTTCCAGTTCTTTCCAGTTTTTTTTAGTTTCTTCCAATTTCTTCTAGTTTCTTCCAGTTTCTTCAAGTTCTTTCAGTTTTTTCCAGTTCCTTCCAATTTCTTCCAGTTTCTTCCAATTTTTTTCTAGTTTTTTCCAGTTTCTTCTAATTTCTTCCAACTATATTTATTTTCTTCAAATTCTTTCTACCTTCTGACAAATCACTCTAAAAAATACTCCCTTCATTTCTGAGTGTTTGTCCACTTTCATTTTTGCACACCATCCAATGCACTTTTTTATTCCATTTTATCTTGTAATTTGTATATTAAAAAATTATAAAAATTATATATTAATAATCTATATGTTAAGACGAATCAAACAAGATCCGACATGACTATTTTTAGACTTACACATTGAGAGAATTTGATGAGTCAAAGTACTTAGATGAACAATTCCAAAAGTTAAAATTGGACAAACTTCTCATCGTCAATTTTGAAGCCCCTTGCATTCTTTGATCAATTAGCAAATCTACCAACTTCTCATCGTCATCATCAGTCCAATGAGTCCTCCGTCCCGAAGCCATATTTCTAAAAATACTACTCCCTCCGTCCTAAAACTTTCTTCCCGGTTCGCAAAACGAAGAAAAATCCCAAGTTTTTTCAATCTATTTTATTTAAATATTGATATAGAAAAAAAAATAAAACATACATATTTAAAAACTACATCAAAAGTTCAACAAAACAAGTGGTGACAAGAATATTTTATTTTATCATATAGGCCATGAAAAAATACAAATAAATATAAATTCCTGTGAAGTTTGAATAGTGCTCTGGGAAGAAAGTTTTAGGACGGAGGGAGTAATATTATAAGTTACCTAATACCTAATACAGGGCGGTGGCGGAACCAAGAAATTCATGTAGTGGTGCAAAAATAAATGTAAAAATAAAAAACAAATCAAAATGATAAGTAGTACTTCGTATTAATATGACTCTTAACTATTTAACATTTTGATATTTATGCTAATTTTATATTCTAATTAATTTTTTAAACTATCTTTTTATGTATGAAAAATAATATTCGTTATATTTTTTTATTTTAAAGACGATCATTTAGATAACGTGATAACACCACCACCACCACCAACAACAATTATTATTATTATTATTATTATTATTATTATTATTATTATTATTATTATAGTAATAATAATAATTTATATCAACAAGAATCAGAATAAGAATAATTTAAAACCACACATAAAAAATTTTTAAAAACTTTTTTTCAGATTTTACAATTTATTCTAGTTTTTTCAATTTCTTTTAATTTTTTCCAGTTTCTTCCAGTTTCTTCGAGTTTCTTCCGGTTTCTTCCAATTTTTTTAGTTTCTTCCAGTTCTTCCAGTCCTTCCAGTTTTTTCCAGTTTCTTCCAGTTACTTCTAGTTTCTTCCAGTTTCTAGCTCTTTTTTTTCCAGTCCTAAAGAACAGGCCCTTAATCTTGTAAATAAGGACCAAAATGTTCTTTCTCAATTCGTTAGGCATTTTTTTAGATCTTAAATATTGATTAAAAAGCTTACTTAATCACCAAATGTATTTTCCTCCTAAATCTTTCTAAAAGAGTATTGTCTGGGCCACTTACTATGCTATTATCCATTCGTTTTAGAGCATCTCGAATTTTTCGACAAGAATTCAAGTTTTGGTGATTCTCCGTTGTGTGTAGCCAAACGAGCATGAGAGATTTGTGTTGCTCCTCATTAAATAGATTATTGGAGTAGCTCTTCCACCACTTGTTTATACTTTCATCGAAGACTAAAATTTTATGATTTTTATCTTTAAAGCACTTAACTTGTTCCAAATCTCGCATCTTTTTTTCTCTACCCTTTGCATTTTTGTAAATGCATATTTCCCATTCTTTCGTACCCACGACTAGTAAAACCCTTCATATGCTCTCATTTTTGCAACTTTTGCTGGCACTTTTGTCTCTTTCTGTGCCGTCTTATACCTATTCCAACTTTTCAAATTACGTCATGAAGACTACTTGAAATATTCTCATTTTACCTTTACCGTCTCTTACACACTAGCTCCACCATCATCATTCTTTGTCACTTGGATTATGTTTCTAATTCCTCCCAAGGTTTCTTTTGCAACTTGGCTGATAATATCTAGGGAGAAAGACTAAAGTAAGACTAAAACATTGAAAATATACTAAATTTGGACTTCCACTTTTTATTTTCGAAATAGGACATGTATTTACATTACCAAACATGGTCATGTACATTACCAACAAGTATAGTAATGTGCACATCTACAGTGGCACATTACAACCACATTACTACAGTGTGAAGTCCTATTTCAGAAAAAAATAAAAGTTTTATTTTGATACTTTTCTTTATGTTTTAGTCCTATTTAGGATGATTTCTATAGTATGTATCATATCACACCATAACTCTTCTGCACTTTTACGTCTATCCCATTTTGCTTCTTCTACTAAACAACATTTGAAATCTCTTTGCTTATCACCTTTCAACTGCCACCATTTTAATTATGTGCGTGTGTGTGTCTATATATATATATATATATATATATATATATATATATATATATATATATATATATATATATATATATATATATATATAGATAATGGAGTTTCTAGAGAGAAGCCAGAGCAGGCGGAGCATAATTCCTAGATGGGGACGGCAGTCTGATAACAATTGCGCAGGACACCGGTTTTCTAGCTCCGGTGAATATCCAATCCCTTGGCGCTGCTCCAATTGCACAGGACTCAGGGTTTCTTCACAGTCTCGTGGAAGAGAAGGAATTTTTACCAACTCCAGGAAAAACATCCACCAATTGAATAGGCGGAGAAGATGGCCATTCAAATCTCCAAATTCGAGAAACTTGAAGAACTCCTACGTCCTCACCAGCACTCGCTTGCTCCAAGAAGGTGGAAGCCCCGCCATAAATCTTCTAAGCCGCAACTCCACCTTCTCCTTCAAAATTCAATCAAAGGTATTTGAGCTATTTCACTCCCATTACAATAAAAACATTTGCATCAGTGAGTGTGGGTACAAAAGATTCCAGATTTGGTTTGATTTGGAAACAATACGTTGGTTGGGAATCTATTTCTAGAATTACAGTTAATAGAGCCTGGGCTGTCTTCTCTTTTGGGAAGTCTCGTACAATTGAAGTCTCTGTTGGAACAAATAGAAGGGGTGATTTTATTAAAATTCAAGAGAAAAGAAGAGAAGGAAAGTGCTTCATTAGAATCCCCTTTGGTCTTAGGAATGGTGAAATTAATTTGTTTTCCAAAACTTTATCATTCTTCTTTCAGAGGGTCACTAAGATTGAAGTTCCTAGGCCTCCAGATAAGACTGCCTATACTTCTGTCCAAGGTCCAGTTCCCTCTCTATTTCCTATCCTGGAATCTTCAGATCACCTCCCACATAGCCCTACTCATCCCGCACCTTTAGAAGCTGTAAATCCAGTTTTTGTAGAGGACTCTCTCTTTGGTTCAGTCTGCCAGGCTGCAGAAAACGAGGGAGATAGCATTTGTGTTAATCTTCCTCTTAGAACTGGTTTGAGTAACAATGTCTCCCAAGGAGACAAGGATATTGTTCTGGCACAGACCCAATTTGGTAAAGGAACTGTCACAGAGGCAATCGATAAGCCAGAATCTGTTGAGAGTCGAGGTAACTCTGACATTTCTTCTTGCTCCTTGGTGAACGAGGGTGCTTATATTGATTCCCTGAAAGGAAGGGAGGCAGTAGCAGGTAGGCATGATCAAGTTCATAAGCTCCTTTCCCCCTTTGCAAAGGAATTTATCCCCCAATCCAACTCTTTTAGCACTCTTTCGCATCTTGGAACAGAAGAAAATGTTTTGGTTATGGAGGAAGATCCTTTCAAACATTTAAAT